CCAGAGGATCACGACAGGTAGGACTGGGGGTTGGCAAGGGCTCTGCAGAGACCACGCTCCCCTGGAAAGGCATTTCTCATCGTGGGCACGCCTGCCAGGTAGTGGGAGGACCATTTCTTTCTTTTCTTTTTTTATCATCTTCCAATGTGGCTGGGAGTGAGGGGGCTGAGGGAGAAAGACTCCTGAGATGGAAGAGAAGCCAGGGGTCTGTGGCCGGCCTGGGCTCAGATTGGTGGGCACTAGCACTCAGGGTCTCCCCCACCCCACTTCCCCCTGCAGACCCAGACCCAATCCGGGCTGCACCCCTAGTTAGGCAGGGGAAGGGCTAGGGCTTCTCCTCTCTCCTCCAGGTCTCTCGTAAGAATGACATGGGGCGTAAGTGCCCCACCCCATTTGACAGACGAGGCTGAGGCTGAGGCTCAGAGCAGAGAAGTGATAGGCAGGTTAGGTGCATGTGGTAAGTGACCAGCCACCTGGGAGTTATCGGGCCTCTTCTGGCAGGGATAGGGGTCTGGGAAGCCCACCCAATGGGAAAGAACTATCTCCCCTTCTTTCTTAGAGGGGTGGGGAAAAACCAGTCAACAGAAGAAGCAAAGAGGCCAGCCCGACTCCTGAGGTTTCCCAGAGTCCATGTGCTGTCTCTAGACTCCAGAACTCTGCCTGGGTGCTCCCTTTTTCTGGAACTGCTTCCTCTATCTGGTTAACTCCTACTCATTCTTTAGGTCTCAGTTTAGATGTTGCCTATTCCAGGAAGCCTTCCCTCATTTCCCCAGGGTTAGGTAGCACTGCTGTGTGCTCCCGCTGCTCCCAGGGCTTCCCCCATTAGGGCACGAATCACCTGCTTTGTCATTGTATTTCTTCTCCGCAGACAGGGAGCTCTTTGAGGGTAAGGCTGTGCCTTATTAGCCTCTAATATCTATCCCCAGGCCCAGTGTGGAGCTGAGTACAAAGCTGGCCCAAAGAGCTGTTTGTTGAATTGGTGAGTGACTGAATGGGCATCTATAGAGATCGACTATGTGCCAGGCCTGTGCAGGGGGTTCCAATGTAAAGGAGGCCAGAGCCCCATGGAGTACCCACCTGTGCAATGGCCCAGGACGCTGTCTGGACAGAACCTGGACAAGGCGAGGTGAGAGCTCAGGGAAGGAAAGGATAGCTTTGGAGTCGGGATACTGGGAAGCTCTGGGAGGAGGTCCAAGAGGCCTGGGATGACAAATTGTTTGGGGCAGGTTTAGGGCTGGGGGCTGGTTTAGTGACCTCAGAAGAGGCTCCTTTGTCCAAAACCCAGGACTATGCCTAGGAACGGACCAGTGAGGGGGCTGGCTGAACAGGGAAGCTGAGTCACGTTCTGGAGAGCCATTTCCAGGTGAAACCAGAAAGGGCAAGCGTCATGCTCAAGACAACACAGATGGGCCACAGCTCCCAGCCAGGGCTCTGTGCCACCCATGCCCCGCTCCTACCCCCTGGCAGCACCCTGGCTCTGAGTGAACAAGCTGCCCCAGTCCCTGAGGGTGCACGCATACCAGGGGGAGGTGACAATAAGAACTTATCAAATGGCTTGTAGGAGGCAGCCACAAATTTCAGCGGCTACGTAATGTGGGTCTAATGTTCACTTAGCAGAGTGAGAGTCTGAAAAGTCAGTGCCCGCGCTCTGACCCTGCTGCGGCCGAGGCTGTTGAAGCCATGGAAAGCGAGTCACTCAGCAGACATCAAGCTCTGTGCTGGGGCTGGTGTAGGTGGGGTGTGGGGCTGGAAGAAGTCTGAGTTTCCAGACGCCAGACCATGCTGTCGGCCCCAGCTGGCTGCTCCTGGGGGAGGAAAGGAAGCAACATTTTTGGTCTTGGAAAGGCCAAAAGCCCGGAGTCAGAGCTGCCCATCTACAGACGGGGCGGCGAGGAGGTGTAGCCCTGGGGAACCTACCGCTGAGTGACTCGAGTTTGGCTTTCCTCACAAGCCTCTGCTGTTTCTCTGAGTGCCCTGGGACCCCTAGTTGGGGGGCAGGAGGGGAGGGGTCCTTCCCTCAGCCAGCCCCCAAATACCTACCGTGGAAATGATGCCCCACCTGGGCCACATGGGGAGGGACTGAGCTCAGGGCTTTCCTGAAGGTCAAAGCCTCTCCTTTCTGAAGGCCAAAGAGGCATCCTCACCTCTGAGCCCACACGCAGGGCCTGGGGTCTGCCTCTGCCCTGTCTTCCTGTGCGACTCCAGGCAACTCCTCAGCCCTCTCTGGGTCTCGGTTTCCTCATCTGTTAAGTGGCTGGAAAAGTCTCCAAGCTCTTGGCCTGCTACAGAATCTTGCAAATGATACATAAGGCAGCTGCCCACACCCTGGCCCTGCTCTGCTTTTCTGTTCTGTGCGGCATAGGGTCTTTGTTTTGTTCATGGCAGTACCTGTAGCCCTGGAGCAGTGCCTGTTGCATAGTAGGTGCTCAGTAAATACTGGTGGTTTCTAAACTCCCAGAAGCCACCCCACCTCCTCGCTGCAGGTCCCTTCCTCTTGGAAGGCTTTCTGATTCATCCCCTTCTCGTCCTCCAGGTTCTGTTTTGTCCCCTCCTAGGCTGGGCTGCATTACAGACTCCTGTGCACGTGTTGGTATGCAAATCTGGAAACCTCCCCCCTGTTTCTATTCCACCTTCTCCTTTCCATCGTGGGTGCGTGGGAGCCATGTCTTCTTTTAGATCCCCCTGGCGCGGCTAGGATCAGTGCCAGGGCCTTGGTGGTACAGCCAGTGCTCCATAGAGCTGTTTACAGCCTGCCAATGATTCACCCACAACAACTGAGAGAAGGCTTTGCCCAGGCGGGGCCCAGGCCCAGGGGAAGCAAGGGAGACCATGTCTTCAAAGCCCACTGGGATCTGGAAACAGGGGCCTGAAAGACCTCTCAGAATAACTTTGGCCTAGGAGAACAGGGATTGGGATTTGGGGGTCCAAGCTGGGCCAGGATTGAGAGAATTTGTTCTGGTTCAAGCCCACCGATTCATTCATGTCCAAGCCTTTGTCAGTAGCTCACTCTGGGCACCTTGGGTTGGGAGCTGGGGGATCTGCAATGAACCAACCCAGGTCTCGGGCTTCGGAAGCTTGCAGGGTGATGGAAAGGGGGCCGGGCATCATGAGCCACAATAGAGACAGCTGTGTGGGTACAGCCAAAGTTGTCATTCATTCAGTGGGCTGAGGCTTCGTCGAGGAAGGGCTGTCCTAGCAGAAGGAACAGCACATGCCAAGACACAGAGGCCACGCCCAGCAGTGAGTGGTTGGAGGTGAGGCCTGCCTTCCTGTTCTACATGGCTCTTGCCACGCCTCCCCTCTGGGGTCTCTGTTTTGTCATTTGTAAAAGTGGAGGTGGTAGCCAGGCGTGGTGGCTTATGCCTGTAATGCCAGCACTTTGGGAGGCTGAGGCGGGTGGATCACCTGAGGTCGGGAGGCCGAGGTGGGCAGATCAGCTGAGGTCAGATGTTCGAGACCAGCCTGGCCAACGTGGCGAAACCCCATCTCTACTAAAAATATAAAAATTAGCCAGGAGTGGTGGCATGCACCTGTAATCCCAGCTACTTGGGAGGCTGAGGCAGGAGAATCGCTTGAACCCAGGAGGTGGGGGGTTGCAGTGAGCCAAGATGACTCCACTGGACTCTATCTAACCTGGGCAACAGAGTGAGACTCTGTCTCAAAAAAAAAAAAAAAAAAAAAAAAAAAAGAAGTGGAGGTGGTGTTGCTTGGGTAGGGGGTTAGAAGTTGTCCTAAAAGTTTCCCATCGGCCTCTCCAGCTCTGACACGGGTATTCTGTGGGAGTGAGAGGAGGTGAGTTGCTTACAGGGCAGGGATCTGGGTGACAATGAAGTTCTGGTGGCTGGGCAGGGAGGACAAACAGAGCTGTCTGTTTAGGCAAGGAGTGGAGCTGGGAGGAGGACACTGCCAGCCAATTGGACTGTCTCTCCAGGCCCAGTGTTTACTGATGGAATAAGGGAGTCGGGTGTGTCAACAGTGGGGAATGAGGTGGCTCTGCACTACACACACATGGGCTGTCCCTGGACTAGGCCATCAAGAGGACCATGTAGGGCACTGGCTGGTGGGAGCCTGTGGAGCCCAGTGCACTTACCCATTGGGTGCTCAGATGGCTCAGCCCAGGCCGAGTCTCCAGGCCTCTTCCCCTGTCTCTCTGGCTCAGCTTGAGGAAAGGGGCAGGGGCATAACCCAACCCACTCTGGGAGGGGAGAGAGCCCTCCACCTGCTCCTGACCTCTCCCGGCTTGCTCCCCTGGGGACATCCCACCACATGAGTTCTAGTCTTGACTCTGCCACCAACTTGATGAGTGGCTCTGGGAGTCCCTTCCCCCTCTCAACTTCAGTTTCATTCTCTGAAAATGAGAGGCTGGGGAGAGGTTTATGGGACCCCATCTTTTTTTTTTTTTTTCCTTGAGACGGAGTCTCACTCTGTCGCCCAGGCTGGAATGCAGTGGCGCGATCTCCACTCACTGCAAGCTCCGCCTCCCGAGTTCACGCCATTCTCCTGCCTCAGCCTCTTGAGTAGCTGGGACTACAGGCGCCCGCCACAGTGCCTGGCTAATTTTTTGTATTTTTAGTAGAGATGGGGTTTCACCGTGTTAGCCAGGATGGTCTCGATCTCCTGACCTCATGATCCGCCTGCCTCGGCCTCCCAAAGTGCTGGGATTACAGGCGTGAGCCACCGCGCCCGGCGGGACCCCATCTTTGCTTCCACCAGAGCAGTTCCGATGTAAGCAGTTTGTCTGATGAGCCCTTTAGGCCCTGAGCAATTGCTGAGTGTCTACTGCATGCCAGGTGGGCACAAAGTCATGTGGGGCAGCCAGGTTTTCCAGTCTCAGTGTGTTCCTTCTTTAGAAGGGAAGTCTTCCGTCTCCAACTGTACACTGGGGCCACGTGTGGCTCTGTGGTTCTGTGAGGAGACCCAGAGTCACATGCATTGTGGTTCATACCCCAGAGCTGCCATTTGCTAGTGGTGTGACCTTCTGTAACCCCTTTGTGCCTCAGGTCTCTCATCTGGGAACTGGGATGATAGCGCCAACCTAGCTGGATTGCTGTGACCGCCAACACAATGCCTTCTAAGGGTTCAAGGTGGGTGCTCAGCAAGCCTTAGCTTCTATTGTGACTACCAAGGATCCTGGTGGTCCTCCCAGTTCTAGGAAGGGGCAGCCATGCAGAACAAGTCTCAAAAGCCAGCAGGAGCAGGAGAGGGGGATTGAGAATCCCCAAATTGATAGGCAGCCTGGGGCTGGGTGGGGCAAAAGGTACTAGGAGGCGATGCCTCTGCCTTTTCCCCTTCTACTGTACCCCGTCCACACTCCATAGAAGTCAGCAGTTCAGCTGTCCTCTAATGCACCCCACACCCCAACACACAACACACAGGCGCCCCAGCCCTCAGACGGGAAAAACACCGTCTGGCACTAGGTCTGGTTGGCTGGAGAAGTGGAGAGGGAGCCAGACAGCCCTTCCATCATGCAGATGGAGAGACCTAGAGTCTCAGGCGTTAGGGAAACAAGTCATTTAACATCCATCAGGACCCAAGCCTCCTGAGCCCCCAGCCTGGACCCCTGCACCCCCTCTGGGGAGCAGAGTAAGACACAGAGCTCCCTAACACTAGACCAGGTGTCCCTTAGCTCCACTCTTCTAGGAGGCTCCCTGAGCACACCCTCTTCAGAGCCTGACTCCCACAGGAGAAGCAGATGGTGCCGGAGTCTGCTGGGAACTGGCTGCCCTGGAGCCCAGCTGTTGCACAGATGTGAGGGGGGAGGGTGCAATGGGGGTTACGAAGGCAGAAACCCTTGGCAGCTCATGCCTGAGTCACCCGTCAGCTCCGGGAGTGGTAATGAGCAGATTAGGGTTATTATAGTCGAATGGCTCGGAGCGCACTTGCTCACCCGAGCAACCGTCGGCAAAGGGCTGATCGCCCACGGCTGCCATGGCCATCACGCCAGGCCCGCCTCTCCCCTGCCCTCTTATTGACCGCACCGCTGCCAAGGCAGCCTCTGTGGCCTTCACACACCTCATTAGAGCTGCCGGGGCATGCCTACCAGCCCATGGCCCAGACATCACCCCACCCGCTCCTCTTCCCAGGTGTGTCAGGGGGACACAGGAGTCTGACGTGGGGCCTCGATAAGTGGACACAGTGATCCCTGACTAGGGAAACAAGTGTATAGTTCCCCACCCACCTAGAATTGGAGCAAGGACAGGTGTGGCAGGGATTCAGCTGCCAGGGCCAGTCCTTGTCTCTCTGGTCACCTACCAGAGCTCTAAAACCAGTGAGGTTCCTGTAGGTCTGGGCCAGGGACATGTCAATCTCCAAGGGGGGAGGCTCCTCCTTCCCCACTGGCCCATGTCATCCCCTCTGCTCCCTCTCAGAGCAGGAAACAGAAGCAATCTGTCCCAGCAGCCCAGGGCTGGGAGGTGGGGCTGGGTGTCGGGGTAGTAATGATTCCGAGTACTGAATCGCAGAGACTGATGGACACTTACTATGTCCTAACAGGCACTGAGTGCTGGACATGTGTCTATCCACTTTGTCTTCCCAACAGCCCCATGTGTGAACAGATTGAGCGTCCCGAACCCCCAAAGCTGAAATCCAAAATGCTCCCAAATTCAAAACTTTTCGAGTACCCACATGACTGATGCTAAAAGGACATGCTCATTGGAGCCTTTTGGATTTCAGATTTGGGACGCTCAACAGATAAGAATAATATAAATATTCCAAAATCTGAAACCCAAAACTTGTTTTCGGTTTTTTTGTTTGTTTGTTTTTCTGAGATGGAGTTTTGGCGTTATTGCCCAGGCTGGAGTGCAATGGTGCCATCTCAGCTCACCGTGACCTCCGCCTCCCAGATTCAAGCTTCAAGCAATTCTGCTGCCTCAGTCTCCCCAGTAGCTGGGATTACAGGCATGCACCACCATGCCTGGCTAATTTTGTATTTTTAGTAAAGACAGGGTTTCTCCATGTTGGTCAGGCTGGTTTTGAACTCCTGACCTCAGGTGATCCACCTGCCTTGGCCTCCCAAAGTGCTGGGATTATAGGCATGAGTCACTGCACCCGGGCCGTTTTTTTGTTTTGTTTTGTTTTGTTTTGTTTTGGGACGGAGTCTCACTCTGTCGCCCAGGCTGGAGTGCAGTGGTGTGATCTCGACTCACTGCAAGCTCCGCCTCCTGGATTCACGCCATTCTTCTGCCTCAGTCTCCTGAGTAGCTGGTACTACAGGCGCCTGCCACCACGCCTGGCTAATTTTTTATATTTTTAGTAGACACGGGGTTTCACCGTGTTAGCCAGGATGGTCTAGATCTCCTGACCTCGTGATCCGCCTGCCTCGGCCTCTCAAAGTGCTGGGATTATAGCCATGAGCCACCGTGCCCAGCCTGTTTGTTTTTTGAGATGGAGTCTGGCTTTGTTGCCCAGGCTGGAGTGCAGTGGTGCAATCTTGGCTCACTGCAACTTCTGCCTCCCGGGTTCAAGCAATTCTCCTGCCTCAGCCTCCCAAGGAGCTGGGATGACAAGCGCCTGTCACCACATCTGGCAAATTTTTGTATTTTTAGTAGAGATGGGGTTTCACCATGTTGGCCAAGCTGGTCTTGAATTCCTGACCTCAGGTGATCCACCCACCTTGGCCTCCCAAAATGCTGGGATTACAGGCGTGAGCCTGTTTTCTTTTCTTTTCTTTTCTTTTTTTATTTTTTTGAGGCAGGGTATCACTCTGTCACCCAGGCTGGAGTGCAGAGGTGCAATCATAACTCACTGCAGCCTCAACCTTCTGGGTTGAAGTGATCCTCCTGCCTCAGCCTCCTGAGTAGCTGGGACTACAGGTGTGCACCACCACCCCCAGCTAATTTTTAAATTTTTGTAAAAGTGGGCTCCCACCTCAGCCTCTCAAAATGTTGGGATGACAAGTGTGAGCCATGATGCCCGGCTCTAAGTATTTCTGATAAGAGATATTCAACCTGTATTGTTGTCATCATTGTCATATCCATTTTATAGATGAGATGACTTAGTCTCAATGGGTTAAGTAACTGGCCCAAGGTCACAGCACTGGTAAGCAGCTGGGCTTCAATCCAACCATCCTGACTCCAAAAGTGTATTTGAACTACCACCTTCTGCACCTGCCCCGGGGCTTCTTCGCCTGAGCTGGTGCCTCGCTGCTGCCCTGCTCATCGTCTTCTGGGAAGACGCCTCTCATCTTGCCAGTCCTGCAGCCGGAAGCCTCGGGTGCTGCCCTAGGGCTCCCTGAATAGGCATCCCTCCTGGCATTCAAACTACATCCTTCCTGACTAACCTTCCATTCCCCAAGGTGGCCCTCCACACTTTGGAGCCTCAGCTCACCTCTCACTCTCACGCTTCAGTTTCACACTTCCCTGCCGAATGGTCCCACCTCTGTGCTTTTGCTTAAGCTGTGCACGCTTCCCGGAGGGCTCTTTCCCCTATGTCTGCCTGGGCTCCAATGCCCTATGCCTGAGCTCCAATGCCCCCTGCCTGAGCTGATCCATGGCATACAAGCACATATGGAAGCCTGGGGGAAGGAGGCAGTGGTATGTGTGTCAGTGTGGGTAGGTCAGTGACGAGGTTTGGGGCTTTGGGGTCAGTTATGTGGCTTCAGGGCAAGTCCCCATCTCCCTGAGCCCCAGTTTCTGCAAAATGAAGATATCCATCCCAGCTTCTCCCGAAGTTTATAATGGTAATCTGTGAGGTTCGGCACACAATGAATCTATAACTACATTTTGTGATAAGTTTCCCACTTGTGAAGTCAAATGAAGGCCCCCGGTGTTGGCAGTGCAGGAAAACCTGTCCCCTGAGCCCCTTATCCCTAGGGAGAACCCTACCTTCAGTGCCTCTCGGAGCAACAGCGCCAGGAAGGGGTCACTGTACACCAGTTGGTCCCTAGTGACCTGGCCTGGCAGAGGGCCTTTATCCCACTTCCAGTAGCCCAGCACCAACCATCCCCAGCTCCGGGAGGGGGTGGGCGGCACCCTCCTTCCTCCACATTGTTGCCACCTCAGAGAGTCAGAATCCAGGGAGACAGTCTCCTGGCAGCGGAGCTCCTGCTCCCCGCCATGGGTGTCTGTGGCGCTGCCGGGCCCACTGGGGGCTGCAGGCACTCCAGCATCAGGACTGACTAGGTCCTGGGAGTGGGAAGGGGACTCCAGCCAGGGACACTGGAGACAGGGCCAGTCTGAGTGCCTGCTCTCCCAGGGGCAGGTGCCAGCATGGTGCCCCCCTCAAGGAGTGTGGCATGTGAGATCGAGGTCCTGGCTGCCCTAGGCTCCTGTGCCATCGAGAGGGAAAGCACCTGGCACAGGTATACAGTAGGTGCTCAGTGATGGGGAGAATCTTCCCTTGGTGGAATTCTGAACACTTTGGGTACCAGCAGAGTCAGAATTCCTAGGGGAGGAGGCAGGCATTTGACAACGGCTGTCGGGAGGATATAGCATGTTCAATTTCCCCTCTCCATGAGAGGAAGTAGTGACCCCAACGCCAGGACCCTTCTCTGCCCATTCACGCCCACCCACTCCCACCTCTCTGCCAGCCTCAGTTGGATGTGGAGCAGAATGTAATGAGGACTTACCTGTCCACAAGGACTTCATAGCTGTTCCAAAGCCATGGATGGGCAGGTGCTAATGCAGCCCCTCAGTCTCCCCCTTCCCTTACTTTTGGGGTGGGCTTGGGACCCCCGGGGGGTCTTAACTCACTGAAGACACGAGGACCCAGCTTCTGAGTATTCCTAGATGCCATTTCTACCCCTAGAAACTTCACATGGAGCCAAAAGCCCATTTGAAGCTCAGTCTGGACCAGGAGAGGCTAATCATAAAATGGATATTTTTTAAGTGTACAGAAATAAGAATTTATTTTTGAAGGCATGATTTATATTTTGAATGGCTAATGCACTCACATGCTTCAAAATTCAAAATTCCAAAAGGACTGACAGTGCAAAGTCGCTCCTCCTTTGGTCCCCACCACCCAGTTTCCCTCTGCAGAGGGAACCTTGTTGCCAGTTCTTGTGTGTTCTTCCAGAAATTTTCTATGTATAAACCGTCACCCTCATAGGGATTCTCATTTGTTATCCTTTTAAAATGCACACACATCCTGCTCTGTACCTGGCTTTCTTCCCTTAAAAACACATCTTGATTATTGTTCTATGTCACTTGCAAAACAGGTTCCTCGTTCTTATTTTGCAGCTGCAGATGACTTCATTATATGGAAGGACTGCACATTATTTAACTGATCCCTTATTTTTTGTTTTTTGTTTTTTGAGATGGAGTCTCGCTCTGTCACCCAGGCTGGAGTGCAATGGCGCAATCTCAGCTCACTGCAACCTCTGCTTCCCGGGTTCAAGTGATTCTCCGGCCTCAGCCTCCTGAGTAGCTGGGATTACAGGCACACACCACCACGCCTGGCTAATTTTTGTATTTTTCGTAGAGACGGGGTTTCACCATGCTGGCCAGGCTCTTCTTGAACTCCTGACCTCATGATCCACCCACCTTGGCCTCTCAAAGTGCTGGGATTACAGGCATGAGCCACCAGGCCCGGCTGATCCCTTATTGATGCACATTTAGCTTGTTTCCAGTGTTTGGTAATTACATGAAACGTTGTAATAAATAACTTTATACCCACACCACTTCACATGGTGCTAGCAGACCTGTAGGGAAATTCCCAGGAGTGGAACCGCCGAGTTAGACGTGGTTATGCACAGTTATCAAGGAATGGAGAGGTTGGACGGCCCTCCTTAGAGGTTACACCAGGCTACACTTCCGCTGGCCCTGTCTGCATCTGTCTGATCCCCATAGCTTTGCCAGAACAGTGTTATCAAACTCTGTGAGCTTTGCCAATCTGATATTTGAATAATGGTATATCAGCGTGGTTAGACATTTTAAAGCAACAATTATATTGGTGGCTGTTTACCGAGCAGGAGTATGCCATGCCAGGCACGTTTACATATGACATGCTGCTCATTTCTCATGGGGAGCCACTGGAGGCAGAGAGCAGTTGCTCAGGAGGAAACTGAGGCCCAGAGAGGTTAGGGACTTTCCTACAGTCCTTATAGCCCTGAAAAGCAGTGTGGGGATTCGAACCCAGTTTGTCTGACTCGGGCCAATACTCCTTCCTTATTCCAGGCTGCCTTTCAGCGACAGGCTGCTGAGGATACCCTAGGCCAAGAGCCACCCCACCTGGCCCACCAAGGCTCTGGACCCTCCCAGGGCTATTGCTTCTCTGGAGTTGAGTGATGAACAGAGAGTTGGACCCCCACGGCCCTGCATGGGGGTAGAGGCCCTCCCTGAGAAGGATCTCCAGAGCCCAGCTCTGCTCTCCCAGGGTGCGGTTCCATGGGAGGTGGGCTCCACTGGTCCTAAGCTCTGACAAGTTAGCATCCCCAGAGGGCAAAGCTGACAACACCTCCCTTGGCACCCCCAAGGGTTCGTCTCTCAGCAGCAGCTTCCGAAGGCTGTTCCCCCAGGCCTCTGTCCCTTTCCTGAGCCCTTCCCTGGCCTTTTCCAGGCAACCCACAGCCCCAGCAGCCTGGTCACATTTAGCGCTGGACCCCTGATCCCTTGGGCTTGGCCCCACTCCTCTCTGGATCAATGCCCCCAGATCTCTTTGGCACAACCCACAACTGGCTGGCGAGCCCAGAGATGGGGGAAGAAGGGCCCTGAGCCATGAGTGCACCTCACTGCATGGCCCTGACAGGTCCCTCTGCCTCCCGGGGCCTCACTGTGTCCACAGCCTCCTGCATGCCACA